GTCTTTGGGCCCTCCATGCACGTAGATTTTTTTCCTTTTTATTGCAAGCAGTACCGCTAGTATTTTTTTTTCTTTATTTCTGAACGTTGATTAAGCCTAGTGTTAAACATGGTTGTGACCACTTGCTGCACTGTCTTTTCCCCTACTGTGACGGCTGTGACCATTTTCCAACCTGGACTCAAATAAAAAGGGTCAATTACGTTTGTTTAGGTTCCATTTCCACTTTTCCCAAATCCCTTAAAAGTTCTTTTCTTTAAAACACAAAAATTTTGAGGTACACAATTAGACGAGAGATAATCTTCTCTTGTCCCATAAATCTGATATCATTCCTGTTAAGATTCAAGCCCAAAATTTCCAAAACAAAACTTAAAATTTTAGCCCTAAAATATTTTTTAAAGGAATTTCAAAATTTTTTATGTTTTCGGTTTTGTTTTCTATTTTTCGACAATAAAAGCAAAATTTCTAAAATTGTTGGAAGCCAGAATTTGTTACCATCATTGTTTTCGGTTTCTAGCACTGTTTATAAGTAGATGAAGTGCTCATATAAAATATAATATTCATGTATATTTTAACTATAAAAATTATAAATTAAATAAATAATTTAAAATCTTATATCAAATTTAATCCAAAATATTAATACTTTTAAAAATATCTAATTAAATATTATATTCTTTAAAATCAACTAGTTATACTAGCATATTAAAATTTTAAAAATATAAAAAGTGATAAATATAAATTAAATATATAATATAACTTATTAATGTTATATAATTTGATACTATTAATTAAATTCAATAATTTATCATAGTTTAATAATTATTTCATAATTTAATATTTATTAATAATGTACTGATATTACTGATTTATTAATGAGATAATCGTTTAATGTTCTTTAATAATGCTATACAGTTTATTAATATTTATTAATATTATTTGATATTATGTAATTTAATTTTTGATAAAAATAATCAATATTATATAATTTAATATTTTAATTAATTAAATTTAATATTAAATAATTCATTATATTATTAATATTATTATCTATTATAATATTTAAAATTACTATTAAATTATTTATATTGAGTAATATAAGTGAAAATTATTATTTGAATAATATAAATTCAATTTAAACAATGCCTTATTAATTTATAAATTTTAAATGCATAAATATAAGTATATAAAATCTAACACTTAACATATAAATTACGTCTACTATCTGAAAGAAAAACATATAATATAAACTAACTTAAAGAAATAAATGTAAATAAACTTCCAACACTCGACAAACATTATCAAAGAAATTAAATTCAACGTCATTCTCCCAAACAATCAAATATAAACAAATTCAAAAATGAACCTCCTAAGCTTGGCTCCTTAAAGAGGTGATCTCACATTTCAAAGAAGATAAAAATATAATTAATATAAATTTTTATTAGAATAAAGTCAACAAACTAAATTTTTTTTATATAAAATTAAGCAAAAATTCATAATAATTAACATTATCTCAAAGTGAAGAGTGCATATCTGACCTCTAATTAGATAAGAAAAGAACCTTTATTATGGGACCGGGAGAGTACATAACTTTTAAGGAAATGTCATCTAATTATATATGTCCCTAATCACCTTATTTTATTAAGGGTAATTGGGTAGCCTTTTATAAAAAAAAAAATTGCGCAAATTAGGAACATTGGCTTCAGTATTTATTCTTTTATTATTTAATACTCGTATAATGGAAATGATCATATATTATAACCCTTCCAAAAAAAAAAACATTGGCCTTGCATTGCAAAGTTGTAATTGTTCTATCAAAAAGTTGTGCTCGCATTTTGAGAAGAGCAAAAAAAGGAATTCCACATCACATTATATTGGTATGAGCCCCCACAGAATATTCTGTGTACTGATCACTTTGTCATATAATAGAGGAAGAGAATAATTAACTTTCCTTTAAACAAAAATATTGCGTGTATTACATATATATATATATATGTTTTAAATAAGATCTTGAAATTATTTTGTGACCTAGCTATCATCTATAATATATATCTTATCAAAACGTTATTTTTTAAATTTTTTTATGAAATTATATTTACAAATAAAAATTACAATTTAGAATCAAATTGAACTATATATATATATTGTATTCTGAAAAATTGATTAATTAATAAAGTTTGTATATAGATTGATAATAGATGGGACATGCAGGGGTTGAAGATGGGGTGCATGATTAGCTGTGAGTTACTGTTTTTTCCAAGGGCATGTTATTGTCTCGGAATAAGAAGTCCTAAAGTTATTGTAAAAAGTAGAACATGTTCACATTAATTATGCACGGGTGCAAGCAAATTGTAGGAGATTAATTGTAATGCAAACAAAGCTATCGCTCTCAATCTCATAGAATGGTGTAAGTTTTGTACCAAACAACGCGTATTATGACCAGGTTCACACTTCACACTCAGTCGTTGCATCCAATAATATTGGTTTTAGGTTCAACATTTTGTACTGGTGATTATGTTAATTGCACGATTTAAATATTTTACTTGATTTCTTTTACGTCAATCACGATTTGGTTAGCGGTCCTAGCAAGCTAATTAGTCTCCTCCAAATCGTAATGTTAATTTTAGTTCAATAAAGGACATCATTGTCCTAGCTCCAAATCAAATAAATAATTAAGTGATAATAATTAAGTACTTTGACAATATATATGTATATATTATGCATTCAAGAGAATTGGGATATCATATAGGGCTATTATTATTTTATAAATGTCATTAGATCCCACCCTTTAATTAATATAATAATTACATGCCATATCTAGAAGTAGAAATATTTGAGACTAAAATAATATATATTACTAGTCAAGTTTATGGAAAAAGAATGGATGACCCAATGGTTTTTGACTGATTTGGGTCAATTAAATATGACTATTCAAAATGATTTTAAAATCATAATTGATTTTATACATATTAATTATTGGTTATTTTGTCATTTTTATTTTAATATTATTTGCAAGAAAAAGTTTTTAAAAAAAAGTCTGCAAAACTAAAACAATCTTTGTAAGCTTAGTTTTCGTTTACATAACTACTCAAAATATTTACATAATTAATCATTATTATTTGTAATATTTTGATTAATCAACATTGAATGGAATGAGTCGAGAGTTGAACCATTGATCTAATGACCTGAAACTTTGAATCCGGTTCTATAGCTCTCAAAGAAAAGGTGTTAGTGCCCTTGTAATGCAACTTCCTTCAATTTATAACTGCCGTAAGGGCATGGGACATCCTTTTGTCCACGGTATGTAGGCACATAGGTAACCCCACAAAACACAAATTGGGTTCCTCAAGTCAGACTTCAGCTGGAATACTTAGCAGCGGTCCATCAGATTACCATTCTTATAAGCAAAGAGATCCTAAACTAACTTATACGAAGAATAAGAGTTGGTGAGATTCTCACCATGGCCTATACTGCATAAAATATATACACATGCTTGAAATTAATATATATATATGTATATTTTATTTTAATTGAATTGCAGTTTGCAGTAGTTGAAGTGTTGATTTCCTTTTCTTAAAATTGAAGAGAAAAAAGGGAGGAAGAGTAAACAATTGACAAGTTGAGTGAGGTTTTGCGTATATATCATGGTCTAGTTAAGCATAATGTTTAAGTTGAAAATACATGCTACCAGCTGCAATGAAGCACCTGTCCTACTTTTGGAAGACGATAGCAGCAGCCCAATTTGTCTTTGTCTTTTTTTTTCTTCATGAGAAGGACAAGTTAATTAGCGGTTCTTCTTCCTCCTTACTTTTCCAAAAACTAAAACATCAAACAATGAGAGAAAGTTCCTTGTTAATTAGACTCACTTCTTAGTCGTTCTTGATCGATCCTTCCTACTTTACCATAAAGGAAGAGAGAGAGATTCTTGTTACTGTAAAATTGAGGAATTTATATATAAATATTACCTTGTCTTCCATTTATAGAAATTTAAATATAAAATTTTGAAATTAGAACTTCAAATGTTCATCATTATACACGTTATATTAGATTGGTCCATTACCAAATTAATTACCTCATTTATATGATATTCTACCCACATCTGGCAAGTTGGTGGACCCAAATTAATTCTGTAAAAATAGGTTTCCAGAACAAAACTGAGAGAGCATTGGATCCTCCACAAAAAGGTAGGCCGCCCGTCATGCATCATGTTTCCTAAAATGCTACAACAAATATTCTTCAGCTGTGTTTTTGTTTTTTATTATTATTATTTTTTATTCTCTTTTCAGTGATCATTTGGATCTACAGCTTAGGTGCAATTCCTTCTGCATCAAAAATGAAAATCTTATTTTTTTTTCTGGTTTTTTTAAAATTAAATCTAAATTTTTTGAAGTAAGATATACGCATAATATCAAACTCCACCCGTCAATTAATTATTTGTTAACACTAATGTTTGGCCCATCGGTATGTACAAACGAAAGTTGTTGGGCCAGCACTAGGCTATAAAGATTGGGCATTTCCGGGCCCAACACTCATTACCCTGCCTTTGGTTGTTGATGACGTCTTTGGAAATTTACTGGTCTTCAAGGGTGAGATATTATTATATTGTGATTTTTTTTTTTTGTTTTGCTCATCAATTATACCATGAGTTTAGATGGTCATTAGTCTTTCACTTAAATTTCATTAAATCTGGGTGTTACTTTAATTTTGATTTAAAGAAGAAATATTGGAATTTAACTCATTGAATAAAGAAATACATATGTCTATTATTGAACTAAATGTTTGAATGGTTTTTAAATCTTTTTAATTTAAAGAGAAAAGCAAAAAAATTTTACATTAAAATGAGTACAAGAAATATATTTTGTTAATTGGTTTTCCATCATATTAAAAAAGAAAGACTAAATTCTCATGAAAGTTACTTCAGAACTTAATTAGGTAACATCATTAATAACCAATTAGTAATTACCAATGATATATAATAAATGAGTTTTATTTTTCTTATTGAATAAATTAATGATTCATATTTTACATTGTGAGTGTATAATTTACACAATAGCAACAAAATAATACGTTGTTATCTCGTTAAAACTATCGTCAATATGTGAGTTATGATTTACTCTAATTAAAATATGTAATTATGGTTAATATATATATATATATATATATCACAAGAATATCCTCTGATTATTTTAATAAATTGTGCTTATAATCCATATGCATATATATATGTATGGCTGTGAAGTTGGATGGAAAGCAATGAGAAAGCATAATGATACAGTATGGTACAAAGAAGTGCAACAAAATTCACAATTACATGGGAGTTGGAAAAGAAAGAGAGATTACAGTGAAAATCTTAATAGAAAAAGAGAAGAAATGAAGAACACAGAAGAAGAAAAACCTCAAAATTCAATCTTGATAGCAATTGACTCTCATCACAGACTGGCATTATACAAATAGGATAGAACAGAAAGATAAATGATAATTATTGAAAAAAAAAAAAAGAAGAAGCACTCACCATCTTGATCACCACCCTCGAATCCAACCCACCGGATATCATAGCCCAGAAGATAAAATGGATCCCCCAAATTTATCCCCTTAATAATCCCACCAAAACTTTGTTTTTGTTCATCGTCACAAAGACAGTGCGACAACTATAGCACTAACTCCCCAAAACACTATATTTTGCATTGTGAGAGTACTGACAGCTCTGGAGTTGTCAGCTGGGGAATCGTCAGGGCTATCAGCAACGGCAGCAGCCTTCTTCTTCTTGGACTTGGACGGTGCAGGTGCGGGGCTGGAGGGCTAGGATCAAATATTTGCAAAGGTTGAAGCACCTCGATTTGATAAACAGCAAGCTGACATCAGTGTAAATGGTGCCAGAAACGCTGGTGTTTGTAAGCCCTGTTGTTATATTGACCGAGTTTCCTGAGGTGGTGACATTGAGAGGAAACTTACCATCACCGCTATCCCCAGCTTGTGTTCTCAAAGGGTTACTAACAGTTTGGAATTGGGTTGATGACAGGAATGTTGGGATTATATGGAATTGCACCAGCTCAACTTTTTGTTCATCGGAGAGTGAGTTTAAGGTACCGGATTTAAGGCTCGAGAAAGCATTATCTGTTGGTGCAAAAATGGTAATGCCATTGTTTGTGTTGTTGAGCTGACCAAAGAGCTGGTTGGCGACTTGGGTGGATTTTAGAAGGCGAATGAAGAGGGTAATTGGCCGGCTTTTTCAAGGATTTTGGTGACATTAGTGGGACCGGGTGGTGCCGGAGCCAAGGCCGGAGCTTGGGCTAGTGTTCGTGAGCAATGGAGCAAAGAAAGAAGGAGAAATGAGAGAATGAAGAGATGTTGCTTCTCATCACCATCGTTGTAGCCTCTTTGGGATGAATGGGAAATGGTTGCTTGGCAAGAAGACAATGCAAAATGGAAGTGAAGAGGGTTGGGATAGGAAGTGGTCCTAGCACAAAATGTTTGGATATGTGTTAATAGGAAGAGAAAGAGGAGGGTTTTATTGAGGAGGGGAGAGAATGAAGTTAGGTAAAATGGCAAGTTTAGATAGCAAAAACATAGTTGTTAGCTTGAGCAACTCATTGTTTTCTTGGGAAGGTTGGAGGAATGAATGGAGAGAGAGAGAGAGAGAGACAGAGGGGAGAGGGAAATTGATGACACTGTTAGAGCAACTAGATTGCTTGGAAAAGCAGGAAATACAGAGATTTGGAGTGGATGTGTGGACAAATAAAGATGTGAATGATTGCTTCGCTTTTACTTGTATGGACCTCTTGGGCAAAAAAACACTTTGAGTTCGATTGCCACTGCATACCTTAATTAACAAGTTTCCCATGGGAGCAACTGGATAGAGATGGACGGTGGTTCGTAGGTTGGGCCGTTGGGCCCTTTTGCATTAATGCTATCATCAATGTCAACGCTGATTGCTCCATTCGGGGTGATGATCCAGCTATGAAATTATGCTGCGCTTTCCTTTTCACTCTCCCTCTCCTTTTTTTTTTTTAACCTTTTATATACATATAAAGAGATTCATTAGCTATTAATGGTTGGAATATATCTTTTTTGTTGTTGTTTTAGGCATAAGATAGATTAGAGTTGAGCCAGCAGGGAAGCCAAGCTAGGCTGAGTCTGAAGTTGCTTCTTTCTCAATACAAGCCCTTATGTGTTGCTTTGACAGTTAGTCCAGTAAATCGATGATGTTATTGTTGGTTGGGTGAATAAAAACGGTGGGACATTTCGCATTCTTTTGGTGCATAAACTTACAAATATTGTTGCTAATTCTTAGTTGAGTTGGATACACGCATATTGAAGTTAGCATTTATGCATCCATACTGTTGCAAGATTCGACCATTTTTATAAAAAAAAAAAAAGAAAAAAAACCAGAATATAAATAATTCAGTTGAGCCTTTTCCAAAACATGAGATTGCCTTTTAAGTATCTATCTTATATCACATCATTATAATCTAGTAAGAAACGTAATTTAAGTTAAAAAATTAAGATTCTTTCTTCTAGTTTTTAGTTTTCACTCATAATCTTGGTGAAATGGACCATAATTGAAGCTTTTACCAACTTATACCTCAAGCATTGATATGATTCATGGTGTTCAAGAATCATACAAAAGTACACACGTCAATCAATGTCCTTTTTCTTTTTCTACATTGAGGGATAATTAAACATGCAATCTTGCCATCAAAGGTGCTGGAGGGCGTTTAAAAATGCTGCAAAGTGAGATATCATCAAGCATATTGATGTGGTAAACCACATGCACAAGGTGGTCAGCATTTTGCTTCTTTGCCAGACCTGCGTACTGAATCCTCACGTTTCATTATCGATGGAAATTTGTTGGGCAATATTGAGCAACCAACAGTTTCATCCCTGTTTAGGGAAGAAGCTATCATACAATTCCTAAAACTAACAGTTCCCAGCCGAGTCATTACCATGCTAACCCCTTGACTAGAATCAAGACTAATGTACCCGGCGGGGCTTTTAAACGCAATAAATTAAGTGCCTGAAAAGTGTCATCCCAATTTCCCAACTATATTTGAACCAGGCAAAATGTCTTTCTGGCTAGCCATTATCTTGATTGCAAAAGATTCATTAGTTCACCAGCTGAGTATGCAAAAAGTCTCCAATATGGACATGCATTAATTCAAGCTGGGATACATGTTATAAAGAGGTACACCGACTCATGGATCAAATCCATGTTAGTGAAAGAAGTTACGCCACTGCAGTACCCTCTTTCAACTGACAATGAAAAACAAGCCAATGACAAGAGCTTGATTGTGTCCAAGCTGCTTTTAAACCAGGCCAGTGCCAGATCATCGTCTCTGTTTGTATGTATTCCAAGCTCCTATACTGCCCCAGTCTCAGTCAAATTCCTCTCCTTCAATGCATCTTCAGCTTTTATTTTCTCAGGGACATAATCTACAAACACAAATAAAAAAGTTCCAGCAAATGTAAATAATTGTTGGAAGAATGTGGAAAAAGCTTGGAACTGTGAGAAACTTTTGGGACATTGCTGTCAAAGAGAATGAGAGAGGGCACTAGAAACGTTCCAGTTAGTTTAGATAGTGAAAGTTTTATTTCAGTCCATGAAGGACGCACAGTTGAACCCCCTGCTCAACATGTAAAGAGAAATTAAAGGGAAGGAGAGGATCGCGAGGGTTAACCTATATTTAGCAGCCATTGGCTAAACACATATAAATAAACAAATGAGACAGACCAGTACCTGATAGAAAGTCATATCTCCTCCGTTCACGAACAACTGTTGCTGCGAAAGCAAGAGAACCATCTTAATACTACTTCAATTAAAAATGGTTATAGTTTTTTCCAATAATGATATCCAATTCTTTTGAAACTTAATTGAGCAACAGGAAAAAAGAAATATGCAGTTGCCTGAGATCCACTTTTCAAGAAGCTACAAATATAATATCATAAAAATACATACTTCATAAAATATTAAATTCTGGATGAATAATGAATGGAAAAGGCATCCGGAATATCTAAATATGATTTCAAGAACCCACATCATCTGCACCAATCACAAGCAATGGAAGGAGATTATGCTTATCAATATATTTTAGATTTGTAGTGATGCAGAGAAATGCCAAATTAAAGTTTTCAAAAAATCAGATATCAAGTCAGGTTCACCTATATGATCCATCCTAAAATATCAGAAAGAGCAGCATTCAACCACCTTAAAATTTCAATTCTAATGACAGATAGCATTCTTTCCCAGTAGAGCCCCAATGTAGATAAGCAGAAGGTCAAATTGGATGCAACACAGAAGTAACTATAAATGTACAAATCTGACCCACATAAACAGATCTCAAACTCCAGTGATTAGTAAATTTTTCTAAACTCATCAACAGATGACTTTCTTGTTGGTTATCGAAACCTGAGAATGAATTAGCAGTATTGCATTGCATAAGAATCTCAAATTTTTATGTTGAAAACATTATCATAACCATGAACATAATGTTTATGAACAACTTACAGATCTAAAGAAACCACTCAAAATATACCATCAGAGTTCCTACCCCTCTTTAACAGAAAGATGTTACACCATCTGATTCTCACAATATTTTGTGTTGTTTAGGGGAAAACAATAATTAGGTAGAGTAAGTTAAGGTTCAAGATAATATTCTACATTTTCAAGACATTACAACAACGCAAGATACAACCAGCAGAGAAAATAATATATGAAAGACAGAGCGGAAATTACACAGGTGCTTGTAACTAAGCGATTTCTTGCGGTCCTTCACAGAGGATTTATATCCATCTTCACAAAATTGCTCAAGGAATTTCTCCTGCAAGAACCAAGAATACATTTAGACGTGAAATAACATGTTCAAGGCCGGAAAGAGATAATCAAAACCAAGTCATAATCACTATTGAGGCGAACATTGCCCATACACAGGAATACACAAATGAACAACTATATTAAACAACAAGAAAAGAAAAAACAAAACCGATTTTTAGTACAATTAGAAACAAAGAATTATCACTAACAACAGAAAAA